AGACTATGATCTGTTCATAAGCTCCTTCTGGAAAATTAAATAATGCTGCCTATTTGTCATCCCCAAGTTGACTAATTTCAAGTTCCTAATATCATTTTTAAAATGACCTTTTTTTGTAACAGCGAAGGCGTCTATCTAAGAAGGAAGGCATCACTCACATGCTTGAGCCTGGGCTGAAAAATGTGTAAGTATTATTTATAAATGGGATTATTGTTTTCCAAAGTTCTGATTGGCAAAGAGATTAGTTGGGCCACCATGCCCAGGAGGGTCTCCCCAGGCTTTTTTTATTCCCTGCCTAGAGGTGGAAGGTGATTGGAATGGAACAGGAGGAAGAAGCCTGCTCAGGCAGTTTTCCTGATATTGCCTGGAAACTTTTACTTTCTGTTTCCTCTGCTGATAATGACTGTCTTCAGCTCTACAGCCAGCTCCCCTCTCCCCCTCTCCAGCCCCCTGTTGCTGCAGCCTCCCCGAGCTCCGGTATAAAGTTTGGCTTTTGCAGCAGGAAGCAGCTGGGCCAAGCAACCAGCGAATGATAATGACCTCAGAAATCTGCTGTTCGCTCGGCAACAATAGGGTGCTCAGTCTACTGGAAAATTGTGTTCATCAGCTAACTCTGCTCAGTTACTAATTGACATTGCCAAATATTTTAAGAACAATTGGAATGCACAAGCAAAAAAAAAAAAAAAAAAAAAGAAGATCTTAATCCTCAAACTCAAATTTTTTTTTCTCTTTCTTCTTTTGGGTGCCTGGATTTGTTTGTGTGTGGAGCAGGCACTGGTTATCGTGAATGGGGGCAGGGAGGGGGAGCCACGTGAAAAAAAATGTGGGAAAGAAAGAAAATCTATCATATCACTATACACCCCATGTAAATGCGAGAGCGCCCCCGATAAAGGCCTTTGATGCTGTGGTCAATGGGATGGAGACCCAGCATTTCAGGAATGCAGCTCTAATAACAAAAGAAGACCTCGCTAGGCTTTTAGCCCAGCTGACCAAATAATCCTTGTCCATCTCAAAATATTATACCAGAAGTAGTAGGGGTTAACGATATTTTCATCTTCACATCTCTCCCTGGTTTTCCATTGATCCTGTAACTTAGCCGACTTTATTTAATGAACAGAGGGTCAATGCATTCAATTACCCCCTTCTCACCATCAACACTTCAATTATCCCCACTCCAAAATTATGGGGAATTCGGAAGGTAACTGCCCTGTTGGATATAATGAAGAGTATCGTTTCTTAGTACATTAAGTTTTAATTATTCTGAGCGTGATTTCCAAAGCAAAATCTGAAGAAACAGAACTTTGGTCATTTTCTGACTCAGAGCAAAGCTAGGATTCGAGCTCAGCCTTAAAGGAGGTTTTAGAGAAAGACGCAAAGATTAATGCCATGAGAGTGTCTGCACGCAAGCCAGAAATGAGGAGGCATCGAAAGAGCCACTCGCTTTCTAAATGTCATAAAAGAGTAAAATTCATAAGCTGCTGTTTTCCAAATAGTACTCTTTGCATTGTACACGGAGGCAGGAATGACCACCGTGTGAAATTACTGGCAAGTCAAATAAACAACAACACAACAAAAATAAAACAAAGGGGGAAGATAGGGAAGTGATCTGTGTGACACTAGTTTTGTCCATTTTCTGTTAGAAAATATGACCTCTCAATTTGTCAGAGGTCCTAGTTTTCGCAGTTGATCTTAAGCTTGGTTCTCAGCAGTTTGGTGAGCCAAAGAACAAACACATTTTCTGGTTCACTGGAATCATTTTCACATGTTCAGTGATTCAAACATTCTTTTGCTCACATAACAAACAGCTGCATCCCACATTAGCCTAGGCAGTGACAGTCGCCCATCTCGGCAATAACTGTTTGATTGCAAACTTGACCCCCTCTTCGTCTCGGTCTGAGCAAGACATTTTTAAACAGCCACTCCGTTCCCAATCCTTCTTTGCAAAGAATTACATCAGATAACAAAGGACGTCTCTGCCACTCATTGTAAGCCTTCTTCTAGAGATCTGTTCTAAGAGGCTCTGTAAAAAGGTTTTTTATGATGAATTCAGAACTACTATCATGTTAAGAGCAGCGATTTATAAAGAAGAATTCATTGGTTAAGATCTGAAAAAATAGTTTCTCAGGCCCTACTGACCCAGTTTTCAACAAAAAAAAGAATCAAGTGATGCAAATTAAGTTTTGCGACATTGTTATGCAGTCTGAGAAATTTGTAAAACCGTGTTTTGCAGTTATTTCTTAATAGAAGCCTTAATAAGTACTTCTTTCTTTACTTAAGGGCTTAAATATTTTTTCTCTCTCTCTCCTTCACCTTGCAGGTTTCTCTTTAACAGGTAATAATAAAATACCCATTGTATCCAGATTTTTATTTAAATGCTTATTTTAATCCCACTTTTATACAAGTCAAACTTGTTGGAAATAAGAGGGAGGACTAACCAGATTTGGTTAAGAGTCCTAAATCCCAGAGAAACCTGAATGCTGCAGACGCACAGCTGATGCAGTGGCATATTGGTATGCCCTCAATTCTCCTACTTAGTCAGAAAATTATGAAAGGGTCTCATTTGAATATGAAGAAAACAAAGAAGTCAACCAGAAATGAAAGAATCAGTATTCACAATTGTAAAATACTTGAATGAGGGGAAATAAAAGTGAGAAGATAACCACAACTCAAGTATAATTCTCTTTCAAGTCATGAGCATGGCTGATTCTTTTTAAGCAAAATGGGTTTTTTCAACCGAGCACTGAGAGATAGGCAAGCAACAGAGATAGGAATAGCACAAGGGTATCACTTGGCCAGAAGGTGAGAAAAACACGGTAAACACGTCATTAATGAAGCTGAACATTTGGTGTCAGAATATTCTGCCGAGACCCTTACATTTCAGCAGGTCTGAGAGAGGGATGGAAATCTGTCATTGTTAACTCCACATCACTCTCAAAACTTAGAGGAACCAGTATGCTCTCTGCATCTGTGTCCTGTAAAGGTCCCAATCCAAAATCAGAGGCTCAACACACATCAGAAGAGACCTCATCCTAGGAGGTAAACACATCATTCATGAAGGAGGCCAGAAAGAGTTCCTCCTGGCATTGGGATAGCTGGCACTTGGCTGCCTCCCGTGTAGGGATCTATCTTTACATGGTTACCACTGCCCTTCCTTTGAATCAGTATGTTCTGTGTGGCAGTCACTCCAGGTATTGTGACCTCACGCCTCCATGGCACTCATGCTGCTGGTTAGACACTTCCTAAGTGTCTCATCAGTAATAAATCCCAAACAAGTCTAGGACTCCAGGAGTAGACAGTATGTTTCATGGGTATTTAAGCAGCGGCATTAAGTGCTATCGGAATCTCTGGAATGCGGAGACCAGATTTATGTGTCTTAACAATTCTTTACTGGTTGGTAATAAGCCGGCAGAGTCCCACTTTATTTTCATACTAATTTTGTCCTCAAAGAAGAGTATACTGAAGCAAGACTATAACCGCAAAACTAAAACTGGCATCTACTTAATAAAGGCAGGGGTGAATCGCCTCCCAGACGGAAACAGGGATCGAAACCAAGGAGTAGGGGAGAAACCAAGAAAGAAGAAAAAAACTTTTAAAAAACGACCCTCCAAAGTGTGCCACTACATCTGTAACAGTGGGCAAGGCAGTGCCTCGAGGTGCCTCAAACTGTCTTTCATTTTCTAGACTTAATGGCTGATTGCAGAAATCAATGTTACCATTAGTAACAGGGTATTTGTTATGGCACGATTTCCTCTGTTGTTAGGCTGCAGAATGATTACAGTATTAGCGAGGTGCTTTCTTTATAAAGGGCTAGAGATATAACTTTCAATTTACTACCCATTAGTAAGGGGCTTTGGAAATATGGATGAAGGCCACAGCTCACCTGCTGTTACGTGGTGATTTTAATTTAGCCATCTAAGGCTAGCGTGTTTTTTAGTTTTGGGTTTTTTTTTTTTTTTTCTCAAACTGGGCCAGGAAGCTTCATCATTTCACAGACATTTTGATGACAGATTTTCTGCTTTGCTATTTTAGACCCCAAAGCTGTATCGCCCGTGTAACACAGCACAATGTAAGACGTAACAGTCATGCGTCTGCGTTTCAAACCCCTGCACTTTTCCAAATCATCAGAGGAAAGTGGTGGGGCTCTTTAGGTCACACGGATCTGGCAGGTGACCCACGTTGTAATTTTGTAAGGGATCAGAAGATAGGTTTGGCTTGGGGAGAGAGACTGTGGTGCCTTCATGAGAGAATCACGGGAACACGCTAATGGGGACAGAAAGATGGCAAAGTTTGGGACTTACACATTCACATCTAGGGATAGAGAGAATGCTAGCTCCTGAGTTCCAGAGACGAAATGATAGCAGACAGCATCAGGCTATGAAATGGGGTTGGATAATTGCAAGAAAAAGGCAGCCTAGGCCATTGAAAAATGTACCACCCGGCCATCTGCCTCACAACTTTGTTGTTATTGTTGTTGTTGTTGTTTTTGAAACAGTGTCTCGCTCTGTTGCCCAGGCTGGAGTGCAGTGGCATGATCTTGGTTCACTGCAACCTCTGCCTCCTGGGCTCAAGTGATTCTCCTGCCTCAGCCTCCTGAATAGCTAGGATTACAGGCATACGCCACCACACTCACCTAATTTTTGTATTTTTAGTAGAGACAGGGTTTCTTCATGTTGGCCAGGCAGGTCTCGAACCTCTAATCTCAAGTGATCCACCCGCCTCAGCCTTCCAAAGTGCTGGGATTACAGGCTTGAGCCACCGCACCTGGCCTCAACTTACTTTCTTGGTAGCCAGTGTTCAAGAGAAGGCATAAGAGGCACAAGGATGGCCCTTTCCCTCCAGTCAGGTGGAGAAAGAAAGACATGGCTCAGTGTCCAACCCACCCACATCGGGGTTCAAAACGCACTGGCCTTGGAACTGACCGGAGGCCTGCGAGCAGAACCAGGCAGCCCTGGGCAGGGCTGCTGTGCAAGCTGCTTCTCCCCACTTCCCGGCTAACCTACCTGAGGAGGATGGCGAGGAGGGGTGAGGGCTGTCCTCCTGGGCACTCCCTGTCTGGGAGAGGCCGCCTCCGACCCCACTTTCCTCGGTGACGTTGGAGGAGCCCGGCGTGGTGGAGCGGCTCACCGACTGGGACTCCTGGTCACTGCCCGAGCCACGCCGCTCGTCCAGGCCCACGTGCAGCCCGTCCTCCTCGCCCTTGCGGTCCCGCTTGTGGACCCGGGAGTGCACGACCACCTGGTGGTAGGTGCGGAATACCCGGCCGCAGTCGGGGCACTCGGTGGGCTTCTCCTTCATGTTCCCAGGACCCTGCAGGTTATAGTCGAGCGTCTGGTTCAGCCCATGTGACAAAAAATCCCGACTGCTTTCTAAAGGGTCGAGCTTACTTGGCAGGTCTCTCTGACTGCCCACTTTAGTGCTGTGAACCAAATCAGCAGGCATTTTCTGCTTGGAGCCATCTGCTCCCACTAACACGTACTCCCGCTTCTCCTTATCAAACAGAACCCCGGCGTTTGCCAAAGTGTCTTCGTGGTTGCGCTGCAGCGGATGCTCTTTAGACAAGAAGCCATGTTCCATGGCCATGCCCCTGGCCATGAGCTGCCAAGCCTGGTAGCTATTCACGGGGTCCATCTCAGCAGCCTTGGCAGCCGCCTGCAGCCGCTCAATGCAGCTGGATTTCAACGGCGGCACGAGGTTGAGGCATCCCAGGAGGGAGTGCTTGTCCCCCTCCGGGACTCCGTGGGCCATGCTGGAGATGGGAGACAACAGCTTCCCCAGCGCCTCCTTCTCCTTCATGGGCAGGTCGCCCTTGCCATAGAGCTGGCTGGGTTCGCTCAGGCCAGCCTTGTCCGGGGCCATGAAGCCGCTCTGCAGGCAGGAGAGGTACCTGGAGTACAGGTTGGCGTGGGCCTCCTGGGACATGCCGCCCATGGGCACAGGCACCTCGGCGTCGCTGGGGGACTTGTTCTTCACCGACAGCTTGTTGAGGTGGACCTTCATGTGGTTCTTGAGGAACCAGGGCTCCTTGAAGCGCCGGCCGCAGATCTGGCAGCAGTGCTCGAAGGAGTCTTTGTGCTTGCGCATGTGGCCCTTGAGAAACCAGGCCTGGCTGAAAACCTGGCCGCACACCTCGCAGCGGAATTCGTTGGCCGACTGCTCGCCACCACCGTTGGGGCCCTGGCCCTGGGCCGACTCTGCGGTGATGTGCGCCTTCTCTACGTGGCTGATGAGCTCCTCCTCCTGCGAAGCCGCGAAGTCACACAGCGTGCACTTGTAGGGCTTGTGCAGAATGCGGATGTGGCGGTCCAGCTCCTCGCGCTTCTTGAACTTGCCCTTGCAGAAGGTGCAGCGGAAGCCCGCCGCAGGGGCCACCGCGTCCTCCTGCACGCTGGCTGGCTTGGGCGAGGGCACCGGGTGGGCCATGTCGGGCACGCTGTGGTTGGCAGGCAGGGCCAGGGTGCAGGCGGCCAGCGGGGCCTGCTGCGCGTGCGGCGGTGGCTTCAGGTCAGGCCGGGGCTGCAACAGGCTGCCCTTCAGCTGCTTGTCCCGCAGGATGGCGCGCTCCTCCAGCTCGTGCAGCAGGCGGTTCTCCTCACGTACGCGCCCGCGCCCCTTGCCCAGGTTGCCCAGCTTGTGGGTCCGCAGGTGGATCTTGAGGTTCCCCTTCTGCGCCGCCCGGTGGTCACAGTACGGGCACTTGAAGGGCTTCTCGCCCGTGTGCGTGCGCATGTGCAGGGAGAGGATGCTGTTGAAGCGGAAGCGCTTGCCGCACAGCGGACACGGGTACTTGCGGTTCTTGCGGGCGTCGTCCTCGATGTCGCTCATCTGGGACATGATGCCCAGGTTCTGCCCGTTGAGGAACTGCTGCAGGTCCACCCGCCCGTTGAGGCTAGTGTCCACCTCCCGGCCCAGCTGGTTGGCCAGGAGCGCCATCTGACTGCCCATGGGCTGGCCGCTCATGGGCACGTGGGCCTTCTCCTCCAGGGACGCGGGGGGCTTCTCCTCGGGGTTGGGCCGGGGATGGAGCTCGGGGAAGGCATGGCTGAGCTGGGAGGTGATCTGATGCAGCTTCTGACTCATGGCATACTGGCCGTTTAGGACGGGGCCGCTCAGGTGGGGCTCAGCTTCCGGCTCCGCCGAAGACACTCCAAGGCACAGGCTCGCTTCTTCCATCCCTGAAAAAAGAGGCAGAGTTCAGATCCACGCCAGGTGTGGCTGTGGCGCCATGAATCAACAGCATCGGCGGGCGCGGAATTTGCATTTCATGCCTTACCTACACATAATCATGCTAAGAAATTCTAGTCAAAAACAATAATAAAAAAATGAATTATTAAATGCCAATTATGCAATATGGCATTGCTCCTCCAATTTGTTTTGGCGACAGATCCTCTTCCTTGTTTTTTCTATTTACAGACTGCAATTATTCATCCACCTTTAAATTATTAATGTTTTACCCCTTTCAACACCTAATAACAAATCAAGGGTCTACGTGTGAAACTTTTGCTCTATTGCCCCATTGTTGCACCTGTTGTTCAGTCCAAAGTTTGCCTGAGAGCACAATGACTTTCCCAGCAAGACCAAAAATCCCACTTGGAACTTTTGTTTCCATTTACTGTATTCAATACATTCACCACTCTGAGATGAAAGAGATCATTTTATGATTTGGCCAAAAAAAAAAAAAAACCAATGGCATGATATTTACTGGTACATAATAAAACAAGATAATGTTTTGGGAAAAAATAAAGTAAAGGACAGGCTTTAGAACAATAAAAGGGATTTTGCTTTAGTCAACAAAAAGTGCAGTAATATCTCATTAAGCTGATTAGTATGCTGCTTAGAAACAGTACTAGGTGCTGTAACACATGATTATAATCATAAAAATCCTTCAGTGTTTGCAAGGAAGCATTAACGAGGTATATTAAATTTTAAGGAGACTGCGAGTAGCGGCTTTGCAAACCTCAGAGATTAAGATTTAACCCTTATGTTACAAAACACTCTTATTTTGTCATTTGGCAACTGTGCCCATCAAAAGTATAAATTATCTCCTGATGGACTCTTTTAGCAGATTGCTGAAGTTGTTCAAATGTGGGTCACAGGAAAGACCTGTACCATATAATGGGGCGCTTCCTAGCCTTCAATGGTAAGATATCCAAAGCACAGACTTTGATTGGGCTTAAAGAGATCTTTTATAGAATGAGATAAAAACCCATTAAAATCCAGGGATGATGCCATAGGAAGTCTCAACCAAGTTTGAGTGTTTTTAATAACTTTCCCAATATACAATAATGAGTACAAATTGTACCTGCAGTATGTGTTTTGCAGAAAATTAGAACCCAAAGTTGTTTGTTAAACACTATCGTTCAAAGCTGGTCTGCATAATTGTCTTTAATAGTCCTCTCTGCCCCCTCTCCTGCCTGTGCAGAATGGCTGAAGTCAGATGGTTCCAGGGAGGGCAGAGGAAACAGCCCCTTCCACATAGGAGCATGTGGGGAGCTCCACTTCACAAGGCAACGAACCCCAGCTATGTCTTCCACCTGAAGGGGTCCAAATTCATTTCCTGCCATTGGAATCGTTTTTGCACACACCTCTCCTGTTTGCATCCCATTGTTTAGATGGGTTGGCCAGCCATGAGGTCCAGGAGCTGTGCTTAACCTCTGCCAGGACTGATTTCTGGACTAAGCGATTGCCCAGGGGGACCTGCAGGGACTGAGCTCAACTGTGGAGGAAGCAGGCAGCCTCGGCAGGGTCTGCTGCTTGCTGGGCCTCCCGCCAGGAGACTGTGCATGGCATGGAGGGTCTCCAGTGGGAGACCTGACTTCCTTGGCAGGAGGAGTGGGGTGGTGAGTCCATCTTGCAAAGGAAGGGAAGAAAGAGCCATGAATGTTTATTTCCAGGAGGCAGAGGGATTAGAGCAGTGGTGCTGGGCCAACCATGTCCATGCATCAAGATATGCACAACTGCACAAAGTGTGAAGACACATGTAAAGGTGCATGGGCCCTTGCCATAGGAGAAGCTTCCAACTTGTCATCCTTACTTTATGTTTCTGGGGGCAGTCTACACTTAAATTGTTTTTAAACATACAGTTTCATTTTGGAGGTTGGTTAGAAAAAAGCTAATATCCTATGAAGATGGCTGCATTCATTCAACAAACTTACTGAGATCCATCCATGTGCCAGTCCCTAGCTTTGCCACTGGAGACATGATAGTGGACAAGACCCGCCAGCCCCAGGACCCATGACACCCACTCACCAGCAGAGAGGAGCAGGCTCAGTGTACAGACTTTGCTGGAGGCTCCAGGCAGAGACTGGTGGCCCCAGAACCCTGCCTGAAGCCCTTTCTCCACCTTCAAGCCCTGTCCAGTCTCACTGGCTCCTCTCCTGAGCCAACAGAGATCATGACTCTGAAGCCACATGGGAGTGCTCAGAAATCCACCCAACAGCTCTGTGGAAGTTAGGGAAGTCCAAGGCCAACAAGGCTGGCCCACTTCCAAAGGCTGCCCAGTTGGCCAGCTCAGAAGACATGAATCCAGGAAGATGGGCTATTTTCAGGTTGCTGCTGATGAGCTGACGCCAATTCAGCAGGAGGGAGAGAAGGCTGAATGTGCAATGCGGCGAGACTGCAAATCAGGTTGGATGAGGGGCATGGAGTTGAAGACTATGCCCCCGACACCACCACCATTCATGCTAAGCAAATGACAGCTCAGCTGGTCAATAACGAACGTGGGAGTTTTCAGGTTTGGTTTGAGTATGGAATCCTTTTATTTATTTTCAAATCTCTGTCTATCTACCTATACTGGCCAGAGTTAACAAAGCTTTGTAACCTCTTTAAGTCTTTAAATGCCTTTGCTAGATCCTCAGCTGAGACAGAATGTTCTAGAACTTGCATACTGCCCCCCCCTTCATAGTTGGCTCTGTTCTTATGCGGATCTGAGCTCACACGTCCTTTCTCACAAAAGCCCTCTGTTCCCACCCTCTCTGAGGCTGACACTCCAGCCCTTCTCTGTCCCAACACCTGACTTTCTTTCTTGTAGAACTTACCATGGGGGCAACATTTTGTCTTGATCCTTTTACAGATACGCTTTTTTCCTGTGAAGGCAGAGGGCATGTCTGCCTTGGTCAAGGATAAAGCCTTGGGTCCTAGCACAGAGTTGGCTCACCTTAGGTTCTATGTCCTGACTGAGTGGATGAATGAATGAAGAGACTCACTCTAACCTCAACCTTATGTGACCTAACCTCGGCATTGCACAAGTCCAAGAGCACCTACAATCAGAACTGGACAGAGTTGGAAGGGTCCCTGACTACCACTGAGAAGTTGAACGTTTAGAAACCACCAAGAAAAAGCCACCCATGGCTGGGCACGGTGGCTCATGCCAGTAATCCCAGCACTCTGGGAGGACAAGGTGGGCAGACTATTTAAAATCAGGAGTTCGCGACCAGCCTGACCAACATGTTGAAACCCTGTCTCTACTAAAGATACAAAACTCAGCTGGGTGTGGTGTCAGGTGCCTATAGTCCCAGCTACTCAAGAGGCCGAGGCAGGAAAATCACTTGAACCTGAGGTTGCAGTGAGCTGAGATAGTGCCATTGAACTCCAGCCTGGGCAACAGAGTGAGACTCTGTCAAAAAAGAAAGAAAGAAAAAAAGAAGAGAAGAGAAAAAGCCAACTATACCCCCAACTCTTCCAGTCTAAATGTCCATGGTGATCACCCCAGGCTTGCACCACCCATCGTGGCCCAACTGCTGGATACTAGGAGACACAATGATTCCCTTTAGAACTTAACTGACCATCACTGCCCCTGGGAGACCCTAGGGTTTCAGAGGGGCCAGTCAGCTCCCCAGGAGACACTTCCAGAATAATGGTCCCCAGCCCTTGAATAAACCTTGGAGAAGCCTGCATAGAGGGCTTACTGGGAGGCAGGACCATGGCAGACAGTCAGCTCAGAATCCTCTGTGATTCTGTGATTCCTCGAGCAGGTGCAGCTGAGGTCACTGCAATGGGGCAGTTGTAACTGATGCCTGCTGCTCGACTTAGAGCAAGAAAGGGAAGCACGAGTTCCTGGAAAGAGTATGGGGTAATTGGTGTGCTGTCTCTGCGCCAAAACAGCCGAGGCAGGACAAGCTGGCCCCAGGCCCGGCCTGGGACTCACAAAACCTGGGTCGGCCCCAATTTCTCCAGCCGTGACACTTTGCCCATCCAGAATGCGTTTATTCCTTACCTTAGCCATTCAGTCAGTATTCGCCAGGGACCTTCCATGTACCTGCCCTCGAGGGCCTGTGGATCTCAGGGGCTAGTGTGAGCGAGTCCACAAGTAACAGGGGAGCGATGAAAGGTCCCTCCGAGGCTGAATACGAAGCTGGGGAAAAAAGAAACCATCGCAGCTTTGGTGTCTAGGGGTGTGTGTGTGTGTGTGTGTGTGTGTGTGTGTGTGTGTGTCTGTGTGTGTGTACACGTGTGCACGTGCACATACGTGCATTAAAGTATGTCTGTATTGAGGGAAGAGTGGGGAGTCCCTAACTGGAATCCCTCTAGACATGTACACAAATGCCTACCCTGGGAAACTAAGGCATCATTTATCCTACTGTTAAAGGATTGAATCCAACTGCAGGCATAAGAGCTCATGGGGCTGGAGAAAATAGAGCTGCCTGCAAATGATATGACCTGCTGGAAGGGGCAGGACACAGAGGCTCACACCTGTAATCCCAGCACTTTGGGAGGCTGCACCCAGGAGTTTGAGACCAGCCTAAGCAACACGGCAAAGCCCATCTCTACTAAAAATATTTTTAAAATTAGCCGGTCATAGGCCGGGCGCGGTGGCTCATGCCTATAATCCCAGAACTTTGGGAGGCCGAGGCGGGTGGATCACAAGGTCAAGAGATCGAGACCATCCTGGTCAACAAAGTGAAACCCCGTCTCTACTAAAAATACAAAAATTAGCTGGGCATGGTGGTGCGCGCCTGTAGTCCCAGCTACTCAGGAGGCTGAGGCAGGAGAATTGGTTGAACCCAGGAGGCGGAGGTTGTGGTAAGCTGAGATCGCGCCATTGCACTCCAGTCTGGGTAACAACAGCAAAACTCCGTCTCAAAAAAAAAAATTAGCCGGTCATGGTGGTGTGTGTGCCTATAGTCCCGGCTACCTGGGAGGCTGAAGTGGGAGGATCGCTTGAGGCTGGGGAAGTTGAGGCTGCATTGAGCTATGATCCATACCACCGCACTTCAGCCTGGGCAGTGAGAGTGAGACCTTGTCTCAGAAAACAAAAAAAATTTAAACAATAAATTTTTTAAATTTCAACTAAAAGACCTGCTGGAAGGTCTTATTACCCCTTTCCCAAGCCCACCAGGGAGTGAGCTTTCCCTTTCAGACCATCTGCTCCCTCACAGGCCCCACAGGGAACATCCATCAGCATCTGTCCCTGGAGGGGCCTCCTGCCATGACCCACCCCAACCCCACTGCCAGAGCACTTTAGCCCACATGCCCCATTCACCCTTCACTCAGCACTGCATGGCCCAGGAGCAGAAACCAAATTATTCACTTGAACTGATGTCCAGAAGAGGTTTTTCTAGGTGCTTCTAGAATTTTTGTATAGTTTCACATGTTATGTTTAAGTCTTTAATCCATGTTGAGCTAATTTCAATAATGGATATACATGGACATAAAGATGGAGATAATAGACCCTGGGGACTCCAAAAGCAGGGAGGGAGTCGGGGAGGGAGGGATGATACAACTACCTATAGGGTACAGTGTTTGCTATTTGGGTGATGGGTTAACTAGAGGCCCAATCCCCAGCATTACACAATATACCCATGTGACAAACATGCATATACCCTCTGAATATAAAATTGTATAAAAGGAAGCCAGGGGCCAGCAGAGGGCAGGCCATGATCCTGGACTTAAGGCAATTAGGCAGCCAGGACTATGAATAACCTACGAAAGCCTCATCGAAACAGCTCACCTGGGCAGGAAAACCCTTAGCACAATTTAAAGCAAAGAAACAAAGTACTGAACAGTGAGAACAGCTTGCCTCTGGCCGTCGGCTCACTGCCCTAGCCTGAAACCTATAAGGAAGAGGATCAATAAACCCTGGCTTATTGATGGAAGGAACGAATGAACGCATAATTTACCTAACTCTGCAAAGGCAGCCAAATGTCCTCACAGAGGCTGGACAGTGAAATGCCACTGTAAACTCCTGTGTCTGCAGCATCATCCCCCACAACGTAGAAACATGGCAACATTCTCCCCAGCCTCGACCTTTTCTGAGCACAGGGTCATGGTGGGGCACCTCGAGGACTCAACTGGACAGTCAATATTGATGAAGGACTAAGCTAGACTCTGGTGGCCACGGCACTCTTCACCATGGTGTGGTAACTCCTGGGCTGCACCTCTGAACACAGGTAGAGGCCCCAGGTGAAGGCTTCCAAACATTACAGGTTTTCTTCTTCAGCAATGCAATTTCACACTCAGCAAATGAAACCCACCACTGGGTGCACAGATTATCAAAATATATTCTGTCTCATCACTGCCATCATTGCAGGTACCGTGAGCCATTCAGCTGCCTTTGATGGTGCTAATGGTTATTTTGATTTTGCATTTCTGCCTTCAAGACTATTTCCTGTGATATCAATGACAAAAGTTTTCACTTAACTCTTCCAATAGCAAACCTAATTGTATCTTTCACTCAAAATGAAATTTAAAACTATCAGGACAACCAGAAATGCCAGCTGCTACAAGTCTAAATAAATTTTACACAAAAACACAGTTTCATTTTGCTAGCACAGAAAAAAAAGTAATCTTATGAATAGTCCAAAAAAATATAGATCTTGCCAGTAAGTTGTATGAAAGAGCTTTTTCCTTATACCACGAAAAAGAATCGTTGGAAAATAAAATGACTTTCAAAATAACCATTTCCACTGGATTTTTAAAAATCAAGTATTGTTGTCTAGCCAAGCACAGCTAAAATATTCCTTTTTTTATCGATGTGGGTGAAGCTGCTCCCTTGGAAGCCTTGCAGGAGTCCCTGACCTCCAAGTTGCTATGTAGGATCTAAGACTTGGGTACACAGCAAGGGGTGGGGAGCTCCAAACACCACTGTGGGTGTTACTCAAAATCATCTCATAACATGCATTTTTAGTAGCGGGTAGACCCTGTTCCTGGAGGCTCATGTGACCTTCAGTCTGTCCCTGAAGCCCATCTTGCTTTCTTACGCTGAGGGTAAACAGTAATTAAGACAACTCCACCTAGAATACAATGGCTTCTTATTAAATACTAGTTTTCCAATTGTTGTAGCTCAAACTGTTTAACTAAGGTTGTTATAAGCATTATACACTCCTGTTCTGAAATACAGAACACCAGACTACTGAACCTTTTCAGGGTCATTAAACAGCTGTAAACATTATTACAAAAATAAACCAGAGATTTCATGCTTACATTTTGGCCTAGAGCTTACTATGCTGAGCAAGTGCATTTTTTTCAGCTCTTACAATCAACGCTGGTGACATTTGGGCATCCAAACAAATTACATCACAAACATTACCGGGGTGGGCAGGATACTGAGCGGTTTATTTGCCAGATGATTAATAGATGAACAGGAGGGCAGCGCGGGTGACCTGTTCCATTTTGACTGATGTGTAGACAATGCTATGAGACAGGGCCAGAAATAGTTAAATCCTTGCTGAATTTATGAACGAAAATACCGTATTCAAATCAGGCTATGGAGGATGAAAACTGTGTAACCAACAGTCAAGTTGCAGACTGTGGTCAAACACCCAAACGGATGGAACACTGGCCAAAGTCAAGATCCTCACTGCCTTGAGGAGTGAGCAGAACTTGGCTGAGCTGGCTTACTACACGGTCCCATGGAGCCCCAGGCAGCTTCCATGCTGGTGGGACAAGAGTTGGATAATTTGAGACAAGAAAGAGGAACAATGAGTGTCTTCTCCCTGGAAACTTTGGATGACTTCAAAATTCTCAAAGATATGACCATTTTTGCTTTGAGTTTGGCAAAAAAAAAAAAATCTCAAAGGCAAACAGCCTCCATCACTGTGGCTTTTGGAGTCTCCATTGAAACCGCAGCCCAGAAATGAAGACAGATAATGAGCACAACCACCTTGAAGGAAAAGAAAACTGACCATAAAGGGCTCTCCTGTGATTTTCTCAGAGTAGAGAAGACTTCTGGTCTGGATCCCTGGATCACCTTCTACCCATACCATACAAAGCCAGGAAACTAGGTGCTGGGGATGGAATGAGGACAAGTTCACATAGGGTAGTTATTAGGACTATGGACTGTCCTCTCAATAAAAAGCAACAACCTTCATCAGCAAGAGCATCACCATCATCACCACCATCGGCAACATCATCATCACCACCATCACCAGCATCAGCAATACCACCATCACCATCATCAGCAGCAATATCACCGTCATCATTACCAGCATTATCACCATCATCATCACCATCACCACCAGCATCAGCAGCAGCAGCATCACTACCATCATCATCACCACCATCATCACCAGCATCAGCATCACCATCATCAGCATCATCACCACCATCACCATCACCATCATCACCACCATCACCATCATCACCATCATCAGCATCACCACCATCGCCATCATCAGCATCACCATCACCAACCTCACCATCAGCATCAGCATCATCACCACCACCATCATCATCACCACCATCACCATCATCACCATCAGCATCATCACCACCATCATCACCATCATCACCACCATCAGCATCATCACCACCATCACCATCATCATCACCATCACCACCAACACAATCATCAGCATCAGCACCCTCATCATCATCACCATCATCACTATCACCATCATCAGCAGCAGCAGCATCATCATTACCATCACCACCACCATCACCATCATCACCATCAGCATCATCACCACCATCATTACCATCATCACCATCATCAGCATCATCACCACCATCACAATCATCAGCATCAGCATCAGCACCCTCATCATCATCATCACCATCATCACTATCACCATCATCAGCAGCAGCAGCATCATTATCATTTCCATCACCATTACCACTTTCATCACCTTCACCATGATCATCACCACTACCATCATTATCATTATCATCACCATCACCACCATCGTCACTATCATGGCCATCACCATCACTATGTACATTAACAGGATCCTCATCTTTATCATCTTTCTCCTCATCATCAAAATACCACCAGCCGACACTGCTAGGTAAATCACAACTATTATCTCATGTTAGCCTTATACCACCTTAGGTGATCGGTGCTATGTTATTCAGTACAAAAGATGAGGAAACAGGGGCTTCGAAAGTTAAAGCACGCAGACATGCCAGCAGCCAGGCTGGCTTTTTGCAACACATTTATTCTTGCTGGGCTGGATAACAACAGTCAGAAGCCAGCTCAGTCATTTGGGAAGTGCCTGGAAAGAAAGAAGCCACACTCATGGGCAAGCTCTGAGGAGGCCAAGGAGCAAAGGACACACAAAAACATGAGCCGAGAAGTGAAAACATGTGGGGCAGACATGGAAGGCACTGCAGATGCAGAAATGTAGCAGGCCTGTTACTCACCAGCTGGTAGACCGGAGGGTTACGCCCCAAAAATTATCTTTAGGCTCCTCTGTTTTCTTAATACCTAGAAGGGCTGATACCTTATTCCACATTCTCCTGTAGAGTCAGGTGGCTTATTCCCCCAATTAGACTGGAGTCACAGAAAGAGAGTGACACCTGAGGTCCCATTGATTTGAATACAATTGCCTACTCTTCCACGAGCATCGGTTTCTTTATCACTCTAATAAACTGATAGACTGTCCTATTCACTTCGAGGGATTTTGACAGGGCACGTGGGGTTGTGGGAGAGAAAATGAGGCATTTTCTACCTGTGCAGTAACTCACCTTCGATGCTGGCCGCAGCAGTTAGCACAGTTTTTAGATCCAGAAGCCACCTTAATCTGGTAGCAGAGGATATGCTGAGAGGGGAAGGACGTGACCAAGGCATGTAAAAAAAAAAAAATGCTCCTGTTATCAGTCTTATCAGAGGATCTAGGTAGCGGGACTGGCATCTTTCGATAACATTTTGTAATGCCTACATGTGGCAAGACAGGGGTACATCTAGAGGTCTACAAGCAAGACCAGGCCCTTGCCTTGAAAAGCTGACTCAGGGAGGAAAAGAGGGATGGACTCATGAAGCTTGGGTCACCTGCTGAATCGGTGAGAGCGTCAGCATGCTGGGCACAGTGGGATGGGAGTGCAGGAGACAGACAGTATGGAAGGTGGTGGTGGGAGGAGAGACAGGCCTTGGCTGGGCCTCCCGGAAGTCACCAGGTCACATGGGGTAGTTGTTAGGACTATGGACAATCCTCTCAATAAAAAAGCAACAACCCTATCACCATCATCATCATCATCATTACCATCACCATCATCACCACCATTATCACCGTCACATGTGCCTGAAGGACCAGCATGTGCAAAATGTAGATGGAGTTTGGAAAGCTCTGGAGACAGAGGGGAGATATGGCAGAGACACAGGCTGGTGCAGACTTAAAAGTCAATCTGAGCAGAATGGAGAGTATATTTGGGCAAACCGTGGCTCAAGAAGCTCTTAGCAAAGGAGGAACATAACATGCATGCCTCACATTGCCAGAGACAGCCTCATCATCCTTCTACCAGGTTTCTATAAGAAACATGTCAATAGCTGAGCCCCACAAAGCCTCCCCTAGGTCAGCCACCAACTATAGGGCTGACACGGTCATGTCTTTGGAAAACCTACAGGTGAACACCTTCAAAACTGTACCTACCTTCTGTCTATGCACAGCTGGAAAAGGCAGCGTTCTATCCAACGTGAGTCAGAGAAGGTGAAAAACCAACAAAAGATGAAAATAAACTCCTGGACCACAAACCAAACATCAGAAGGTCATAGCTCTTGTGGTCATAAGGGCTCCCATGCATGAGAAAGAAGAGGGTAGTTTGGAAAAAGGCATTGGTCTCCACTTGTCCTCTTTGTTACAGTGAAAAAGTAGAAGCAGAAACTTTCCCATCTCCCGGCAGCCCAGTCCCACCTCACCATAGCTGTGAGCCCAACTCCACCCTCCATGCTCTATGCTGGCTTCAGGTGCTCCAGGAAGTCTTCCTGGGTTTGAGCCAGGCTGGAGGTGATCCTGCTTCCTCAGAATAGAAGCTTGGTGAGAGTAGGTGGGTTACCAGCCCCCTGTCTGTAGCTCATAGAGAACCTCACCCAATGGAAAGTCTCTAAGCTCCCTGGTCCTCTAAGCTTATGATCAATCATGGAGCAGGAGAAGTGTCACATCCAGGGACTGCAGTTTGGGAATGGCAACCCAGCCCTCACACCCCAACATCTAGGTCATGAAGTGAGCCTCCCATTTCACCCAGATGGGATGACTTGGGAAGGCGATAGCCCCCTAATTCTCTGTAATGAAATTTTTTTTTTTTGAGACGGAGTTTCGTTCTTGTTACCCCGGCTGGAGTGCAATGGCGCGATCTCGGCTCACCGCAACCTCCGCCTCCTGGGTTCAGGCAATTCTCCTGCCTCAGCCTCCCGAATAGCTGGGATTATAGGCACATGCCACCATGCCCAGCTAATTTTTTCTATTTTTTAGTAGAGATGGGGTTTCGCCATGTTGACCAGGATGGTCTCGATCTCTTGACCTCATGATCCACCCGCCTCGGCCTCCCAAAGTGCTGGGATTACAGGCTTGAGCACCGCACCCGGCCTGTAATGAATTTTTATCTGAACTATGTCCACCCCATCAAGGAAAGCAACAAGAACCCCAGAACCACCCATATATATGCTTTTAATGAATGGCATATCTTTAACGTAATAATGCAAAACTGAAAAAGATACCAGCAGTTGTCAGCAGTGTATTGATTCCTCTCACTGGCTTTCCTGCTCCCTTTTTAAAGCAGACTTGGTCATAGAAGGAAGTTAGATATTTAATCCCCTATTAACCCACCTCGGCTCCCTGCGCCTGCTTCAGCGCACAGCCCCTGCCCTTGGAACCAGAGGCCCTGACCTCCGCAGGACCCTTCCCTAGGGCAGCAGCGGCCAGGGAGCAGACACCAGGCTGCACCTCCCCACTCCTTCACCCCTGACTAAAGCCGTTTACATCTGAGCACTTGTGGATGATGATACCGTGTTGAACAGTTTATTTTCATTTCACAGAGGCCTCAGATTTGATTCGGTGCAAAAGTAAATATAATGTAAAACGCACATACGCAAGAGTGATCAAAGGGGGCTTAATTTTGAAATATTTATAGAAGTCGGCCCAGGGAGATTCGTCCACAGGGGCACCTGTCGAAGACATAAGCTCAGATACACATCATCCTGTAAGTATGCAGGATCATTACTGAGCAGAAAACCCAGGCACTCCGTCGGGTCCCTGGCTGCCTGCAATTTCTGGGCTGAGGCTAACAGACGGAGGCTGGCCAGGGCTGGGCTGGGCCCTTGGTTCTTTTTGGCCTTGGGGTCCCCGGTTCAGCATCCCTAGCTCCTGCACAGGTTACCAGGCTTTCGTGGCCTTCAGCTGACTGGCCTCCTGGGAGAGGAGGGAAGATTGACTCAAGACCCCCTCAATACAGGTGCTGGTGTGGCCGGTTGCAGGAGGCCCAGCTCATGGACCCAGGGCTTTTGGGAGCTGCTGTCTCAGATGTGGGGGTGCTGCTGCCATAGTGGATTCTAGGGACAAAGACCAATTTCACACCATGATCAAGAAAGAAGGGGGAGTAAAGACTGACTTGAGAATGGAGAACCCTCACTCCAGTTCATCTTTAAAAACCTATTACTGTTTTGAAAAAGGACTCCCATGGGCAGGGGAGGTGGCTCACGCCTATAATCGCAGCACTCTGGAAGGCCGAGGAAGGTGGATCACTTGAGGTCAGGAGTTTGAGACCAGCCTGGCCAATATGGTGAAACCCCATCTCTACTAATAAACTATCCAGGTGTGGTGGCATGTGTCTGTAGTCCCAGCTATTTAGGAGGCTGAGCCAGGAGAATTGCTTGAACTGGGGAGGTGGAGATTGCGGTGAGCCGAGATCACCCCACTGTACTTTAGCCTGGGTGATAGAACAAGACTCCATCTCAAAAAGAAAAAGAAAAAGGACTCCCTTTTCTCAGGGAGCAGAGGGGGGCAGCTTGGTGTCCTTTTGTGCATATCATTTCCCCTGTTGGGAACATCCTCTCTGCAATCCCTGCTTGTCCCTGGGCCTAGTAATCTTGGGGACATTAAATACCACTTCTTCCAGGAAGCTCTCCTTGATGCATCAGGTCCAGGTCCAGAGCCCTTCCATCTATCTCCATGGTATTTTGGCCTCACCCCGAACACTGTCTTCTTCATTGGGTTAGTTTGTTTATACCTGTCCAAAGCCCCATGAGGGCCACACCATGACCACTCGCTTCACCAGGGTCACCCCAGTACCCAACACAGAGCCAGGCACAGGGGAGAAACTTGATAAACATTTGCTGAGTGACTGAATAGAGGAACAAGCAAATAAATAAACGATTAAATGAGGGAATGAATGAATGAATGAATGAACGAACAGGTTGCAGGCTACCAGCATAACATCTATCCTTGAGGAGGAAGCAGGGGTGAGGGGGGCGGGTGCTAGGAGGATGACTCAGACAACATGACCAGCCCTGCCCTCAGCTCATGGAGGCACAGCCAGGTGAGAAGTTTGGTCACTAGAGCTTTACTTCTATGTCACCCCAGAAAACTTAGAAGAAAACAGCTCTTCTACACAGCCACTCCCAATCCACTCTCAAACTCTTAAAGCAAACCCCATAAAGAGCTAACCCTACTCTGTCCCTTAGTGGATCTCACAGCTCGTGCCTCACCACCCTCTACCCTTACCCAGGACCTCCTGGGGCCCACATGCAACCCAAACCCAATGCTTTGCAGATGACAAGTACCTACAAATTCTGGTTGAGTTAATTTGGATCCCAAACCCCTCAATGTGTCTTTTTCAAACTCCACTCTCCTATTGACTACCCTGCTTCTTTCAGTATTCTCATACTTGATTATGCAAATATTCATTCATTCATTCAGTAAGCCCTTCTGACTCTCTACTGCACACCAGGCATGGTGCCTGGCTCTGCAGAGAGAATCTCAAACACACTGCCCTCCTGAAGCTCATCATCTAAATAACAGATGGATTCAAAACATCCACCTGAAGAGACAGTTCATCTGTTTCCTTAGTGCCCAGTGCAGAGGAGGCCCTTGGGATAAGCTGACGATGCGGAGTGACACCGCCACTCCCTTCTCTAGAGTTCTTCTTGCAGACAACACACTCCACTCTGAACCTCTGCTGACACCTCTCTCCCTGATCTCAGCTCGCTTCACACCAAGATCTAGTCTTTGCATAGCATCAGGAAGAAGATGGCCAACTGGAACCAATGGGATGGCCTCGGGGCAGCTAAGGCATCCTCTCTGTGATGATGACACATTCACAGGGCAAGGTTCCCAAGTGCCTAGAGTAGATCCTCACACTAGCAGGTGCTCAGGAAGTGCTGACTGAATGAATGACTCCTCTCTCCAGTCCGGGTGCACTGACCTGCTTTCCCAGCCAGCCCCAGGGTCAGGAGCCAAGACACCTGGCCTCCCAACACTACATCAGTGGGCCTGGGTCCTCCCTCTGTAGCCTCCTCCACTCCCTTAAACCATACCTGCATCCTCATCCAGGCAACCATGTGGCCTCATGTGCCCTGGCCTCTCTCTGAGTCATGCTTCCCATGTGTTAGACAAGGAGGCTGGCCAGGCTGGGCCCTGACCTCAGCCCCTTCATCTGTCCCCCTGTGGGCCCACCTGACAGGGAGAGACCCCATAGCCAAACCCTGATCCTGAATCATCACCCATCTGCAGTTGAACTTCGCTGATGTGGAATACAGGGAAATATTCTAAAAAGAAGCAATTAACATTTCTCTCTGCACAAGGGATAAAACGCCATTCATGAGCTGGTC